TCCCCTTCACCCTGAGCCGCCCCAGCAGCCGGGGGCTCCTGGCCTCCCTTCCCAGCCTTGGCAGCTTTCTTCCCTTCATCCTGCACTGCTGCAGCAGCCGGGGCCTTCCCCATTGCAGGAGCTGAAGTTTTCTCCTTTGCAGGCTCTTCTTTGCTTCCATCTTGAGGTTTCTTTGCAGCTGGGGTTTTCTCTGCCTTTGCCGCTGCCTTCCCTCCATCCTGAGCCTTTGCAGCTGCCGGGGCCTTCTCCTTTGGGGGAGCTGCAGGTTTCTCCTTTGGGGGAGCTGCAGGTTTCTCCTTTGGGGGAGCTGCAGGTTTCTCCTTTGCAGGCTCCACTTTGCCTCTATCTTTAGGCTTTTTTGCATCTGGGGCTTTTTCTGCCGTTTCTCCTTTGGGGGAGCTGCAGGTTTCTCCTTTGGGGGAGCTGCAGGTTTCTCCTTTGGGGGAGCTGCAGGTTTCTCCTTTGGGGGAGCTGCAGGTTTCTCCTTTGGGGGAGCTGCAGGTTTCTCCTTTGCAGGCTCCACTTTGCCTCTATCTTTAGGCTTTTTTGCATCTGGGGCTTTTTCTGCCGTTGCCACTTTATTATCTCCATCCTGAGCCTTTACTGGAGCTGGAGCCTTCTCCTTTACAGGTTTTGTATCAGCTGAGGTTTTCTCTGCCTTTGCAGCTTTCTTCTCTCCATCCTGAGCCTTTGCAGCTGCTGGACCCTTCTCCTTGGCAGCTACTGTGAGTTTCTCCTTTGCAGACTCTTCTTTGCCTCCATCCTGAGCCTGTGCTACAGCCAAGGCTGTCCCCTTGGTGGGTTTTGCCTTCTGTCCTTCAGCCTCTTCTGCAGCTGGAGCTTTCTCCTCCATGGGCTCTGCTTTCCCACCACTCTTCATCTTGGACCCACCAGGGGTTTTCCCCTTTGCGGGCTCATCCTTCCCTCCACCCTGGGCCTTGGCAGCAGCTGGGCCCTTCCCGTCCACCATGGATTTTGCCTTCTCTCCTTCGGGTTTTCCCACAGCCGGAGCCTTCTCCTCCATGGACTCTTCCTTCCTTCCACCCTCAGCCTCAGTAGCAGCTAGATCTTGCACATCCACAGGCTCAACCTTCCCTCCTTTGGGGTCTCCTGCAGCTGGAGCTTTCTCCTTCCCTCCATCTTGGGGCTCTGGAGCAGTCAGGGCTGTCATTCCCACTGGTTCTGCCTTCTCCTTCCCTGGCTCTGCCTGTCCCCCATCCTGAGCCATGCCAGCAGTCAGAGCCTGCCCTGGCTTATCCTTCCCTCCACCCTCTGCAGCAGTGGCAGCCTGCACTGTCCCCTCCACAGCGGCTGTGTGTGGGGCTGCGCTGCCCTCTGCTTCAGGGGGGCTGGTGCCACCAGCTGCCCCAGTGCCCAGCATGCTGCCTACCCCACTGCCCTGCTCCATGGGGACTCTCTGGGCAGGAGGCAACTGCCCCACAGTGCTCCCAGTCCAGCGAGGCTCCTGTGGGAGAAAAGAACAGGAGCTGAGGGGTCCCCTAGACCCGACACCCCACAGAGGGGCACAGTGTGATGTGGCAGTGGTTCTGCTTCTGCAGGAAGGGGCAGAGCTGCTGTCACCCAGCTAGTGGCACCAAGCCAGGGGCCCCACGTGGCTCCGGTCCCTTGCACCATCCCATTGTGCCCCGGTATCCGCTGGGGTGACTGATGGGCAGTTGGACACCGGCACCTGTCGCTGCCATGGAGCCCTCGGTGCACAAACAGCCGGCCCGGCGCGGCCAGGGTGACAGTTTTAAGGCCATGTCGCCCCATGGCAGGGCAGGAGATGACAGCTCCAGCCCCAGGCTGGCGGGGTGGGGATCAGGGGAGGTGAGCATCCCCACATGGCCCCGTTGCCGCCGTCTGCTTGGTGTGCGCAGACCCCAGGCCCCCAGTTCTGCCCGTCTCCCTGCCCAGTGGGCACCAACACTCCTGCCTGGGCAGTGCCCATCAAGGGGACCCGTTGGCAACCATGTGTCTGCACAGACTACCAGCATGAGCTGCCACCACATCCCCTCTAGCCCACCCCCAAATCCCTGCTCTGCCCCAGGCTCCACTGCCCATCCCTGTCCCCTAATTCTGTCCCAAAACAGCCCCCCTGCACAGCCTGTGCAACCACCCAGTGATCAGGACAGCCCAGAATAATCCCACCAGTGACCACCCCAGTAACACAGGAGTCACTTACTAGAGCAGGAGCTGCAACCCCTTTCTGAGCAGTCCCAGCCCCACAGCCCAGCACAGGGAGCCTGCAGGGACAGAGCTGCTCCTGTCAGAGCTTGGGGCTCTACCCTCCCCAATGCCCCCCAATGCCAGGCCTCAGCAGGTGGCCACGGGGACCCCCCAACCCCTTTACCTGGGTCTGGAGCAGAGGGCAGTCAGGGGGGCAGCATCCGCACTGGGGCAGCACCCGGAGGAGCAGCCTCTTCTATCCCGGGTGTAACGGAGCCGGATTAGTGCAAGGAGAGGAGGATCCTTTACAGCAGTGGGAGCCGTCATGCTTTGCCTCTCCCAGCACCTGTCACTGCTGGAGCCTGTTCAAAGGACACGCCACTCTTCTTTCCTGTCCCCTGCAGGCCGGGGACGCGTGGACACAGCGCAGGGGACCTGCCTGACACTGCAGGGAGGGCTGGCACTGGGCATCACAGCACCCCAAAAAACATCCCATGGGGACAGCTCAGCTGAGCTGGACATGGTCCAGATGGCCAAGCACTTCCAAGCTGCCTACAGGTGACACGAGGTGGCCACTGGATGGAGATGGTGGCCAGGAGCAGCCAGCGACAGCACCAGCCTCCTGTGGCACTGAGCTGTGGTTGGCTCTGCCCACTGACACCAGCCTTTGGGGACAGCAGCTCTGAAGGACCCTGTGGTTCATGAGCATGATGTGGCACCCAGGGGCACTGTCAGCTTCAGCTATTGCTGCTGGTTCCTAAAGGAAAGCACTGGCCAGTGGCCCCAGCCTCTCCCAGGAACCAGTTAAGAAACTCCAACTTCCTCCAGAGTTAAGGACTTTGAGGATCAGGGAGAGAACCAAAGGAACTGAGGGCTCCCAGAGGGGTCAGGCTGGGCACAACCATTGCCTGGCCTTGCTGAAGATGCAGCACCCCAGGGCATGGCCCGGGGGACCAGGCAGGGCACCACGCATGGACCATGAGTGGAGCCAGGCAAGGGCACAGGGGGTGGCACACAGGGGGTTTGGTGGAGGGGCTAAAGCAAATGGATCCTTATGGCTTAATTTCCCACCCCCCAGCAGAGCCCTCTTACTTTGAAGCCCAAGGTGAGGAAAGCCTTGGTGACCAAGGGTCTGCAGCTGCTCAGGAGTGGGCAGGAGGGGTTTACAGGAGGAACCCCCAGTAACTGGAGCCAGCCCTCCCCTGCCAACACTGCCAGGCAAAAGCACTCCAATAATACCAACTATTAAAAACCCAGAACATCCATTTGTCATTGTCAGGGCAGCAGGAAAGCCTGCAGCCCATGGTCCTTTGGTGGGGACAGGCTCAGTGACAGGAGATAAAAGGAGCAAGAGTAGCTTGCAACAGGAGAAGAGGTGGCTCACACGTGGCTGAGCCCAGGTCAGCCCTGCAGGCAGCAGCAGCAGCCCAGGAGCAGTGCTCAGCTGCAATTCTCAAGAAGATGGATCAGGCAGTGGAAGAGACAGTGCTGTTCCAAGCTGCCAAACCCCAGCTCCCAAAGCCTGGCTGTGGGCTGGGGTCAGGTTGTGCCTGAAGAGCCATGGTTCACATGTGGCATTGAGAGCAAGACAAGCTGGGGAAGTGGCTCTCCCTGCACCCCAGAGGTGCTTCTGTCTTCCCCCCCCACCAGGGGGAGCACAAGGCCCCTGGGGCATCACACAAGTGGGGGAACAAAACTGCAGAGCAGATCAGCCAGCACAGTGAAAGGAGGAAAAAAAGTGCCCCTCACGCCCTTCCCCTGCCACAGGAGCCCTCACAGCTCAGAGACACAGCTTCAACAAGTCCAGCTCTCTGCTGGAGAGCCTCCCTCTTCCCTGGGATCAGACACAGGACCTGGGATAGGATGGGAAGCAAGAGGGATCTGGCAGGAGCAGGCACACGGCTGCAAAGGGCAGCATCTCTGCAGTCACAGGGGCAGAAGCTGGAGCATCACCAGCATCCTTGGCTCTCGGGGACGGTGGCACCCGCGCCACCCGCTCCCAGCGCAGCCACCGCTCCCGTGGCGAGCGGGAGATCCCCCACCTCGCCCTCCCTGGACACGCAGGCGGGAATACCTTGCGTGCCTGGGGCAGCAGGGCCTCTGCCCGCCCTCTGTCATCGCCAGCGTCGTTTAGAATCGCCTCTCCCCCCTCTGGCCGCGGGCTGCCAGGCACCTGGAGGCCACCGATGTCTCTTCAGGCACGTTCTGCCGCTGCTCTGCCAGCCTCCGGCTCTGCACCCTCCTGGCAGGACCCGGGGGAAGAAGCAGCACATCCACTCACTGGGCAGGGGTGCAGGAGCCCACACCCTGCAGTTGTGTCCCACGGCCCCCCCTGGGCCAGTTTGGGCAGAGAAAGCTGGGATAAAGTTCTCCTAGGAGAGCAGGAGCACCTGCTGGGAAAGCAGCCAGGCTTCCTGGGGTTCCTGGAATCTCACATGCTCACGTGAGAGATGGGGTTGGTGTCCAGGAGTGAAGCCCCGGGACAAGGTGAAGAAGCAGAAAGCAGGGACTGAGGAGCTGGGGAGCCATAGGAAGGGTTCTGCAAAGGAGGACTAGGGGAAGGATGAGTGTCCAGGGCTTGGCACCACAACAAGACAAAATTAATTTCTGGGCAAAGGGAAACAGGCAGAGAACAGTCCCCTCACGAGACAGGTTGGTAGTGCTGAAGTGCAATAGCTGCTGCACACCAGGTTTTCAGGTGCCTGGGACCAAAATCCCACAGCCCAGGGAGCAGCAGGAAAGCAAACCAACCACCACAGGTTCTCAGGCTGCGGTGGTTTTTATTTTCCCTCCCCATTCAGGAACTTAAGCCAGAGCCTACGTTGGCTGCAGCTGGAAAACAGCCTGTCCCGGAGATATCTGGCGAAGCATCAAGCACGCCCGTTCCCTAGCGACGCCGTTGTCACAACTCGCAGCACACTTTAACCTTTCTGCTCTCCCCGGGCAGGGGAGGCTCCGCAGCAGAGCCCGGCCCGAGCTCCGGGACACCCGACACCGCGGCTAAATGGAGCGACCAGAACAGCCCGGAGCGGCCACGCTGCTCACACAGCCCCCCGGGGCTTCACTGCTGTCATCAGCACCCAGGGCTTCCCCGGAGGAGCTGCCATCGTGTCGTGGCAGGTCCTGTCAAGGCGAAAGACAAGGGAAAATCCCAACATCAACACACGAGCTTCCAGAGCTGCAGAGCAGCGATGACAAAGCAGCACCAAGCCCAGCTCCGAAGCCCCAGGACCTGCCCCTGCAGGGGCTGCCCAGCCAGCTCCAGCCACCCGGGTGTCCCAGGAGACAGGCTGGTGAGACCCAAAGCTATGGTTCTGAGAGCATCACCAAGCCTTTGCATAAGAATTCCATTCACCAGCTAACGAGGCCTTGCAGTTCTCATCTACCCTGAACAGAAAAGTTCAGAAAAACACTGGCTGCCTTTTAGTTCCAGCTCTGAGTTCAGCAAATCACTTCAATGACAACTCAGCTAGAAATGGATTGGAGGAAGATTTTGCTCCCAGCTCCAGCCCTCCTCCATCAACCCTCCTCCTTCCCAGGGCACACTCATGCAGGTGATGAGATTTAAGTTCCTGAATACAAGGATGCTTTTGCAAACCTCCACAGTGGAAATATGGATTTTACATCCATTTTCAGTCTGTGCTGAAGCAGCACTTTGTTCAGTCTGAGTCTCCTGCTCCAGTCCTGTAACTTTTTTCTCCCTTTTCTCCCACTTCCAGGCCAGGACTGGAAAAATCTGCCGGTTTCCCTGCTGAAGCCTGAGCTGAATCCCCATCCAGCTTCTCCAGGATTTTCATATTTTATGCATTTTCTGCACTAGAGCCATTTCCCCAGTATTTTCTACTTTCCTTCTAATTAAGGAGGCAGGTTACTCCAATTACCCACAACTCAGCACCCAGAGAACCCCCTGGGTGACCTCAAGACCTCCACCATGCAGGGCATGGCAGCTCCAGACTCCCTTTCACCAAGTGTGCAGTGCATGGGGAGAGCAGGGCCTGTGCCTGGGGCACAAGGTGATCTCTTTAATTAGGCCCAAGATACCATTGGGAATAACCTGACAAGCTGTCAGGCACACAAACCCCTCCTGGTGCCTGAAGCAGAGGCCATGTAAGGCTGTCACAGAAATCCAGTTGCTCTATCCTTCAGGGATCAATATCTGCTCCAGCTCAGCAGTCTGGTTTTCTTGCTTGCCTTTACATTCTTCCCCAGCTCATCATTATTCAGGCTTTCCTCTGACTCACCATAAATATCTGCTGCTCCACAGGAGCTGGTGCTGGAGGCTGCAGCAGAGGTTTCCTTGGCTGCATGTTCAGGCTCCTGCCCTGTCTCCATCCAGCAGATGGTTCGGAGCAGCTCCAGGGACAGGAATGAGCTAAAGGAAATCTGAGGGAAAAGCTGGTTGGTCAGATCCACAAAAATCTTCATTTTCCAGAAGGTGCTCACCAGTCCCTCTCTCCCCAGTCGTTCCTGTACATTGACTTAAGGCTCCTCAAGAGGAAGGAAGGAAAAGCTGAACCTTCAGCAAACAGGAGCCTTGACCCTCAGCTCACTGTTTTGAGGCTGTGCTGCACCAGGGTCCTTCATCCTTCATTACCAACAGGACTCCTCAACCCTTCTTCCTCTCCAGTTCCTCAGCTACTACCTGGACATCATCTTTACTTTTAGGGATCCTTATGTCTCTGTGGGGTAACTCTTCCTCTTTTAATCCAAACAGAAGTTTGAGGCTGGTGCTCTTTGAGACCCTGATGTACCCCTGTACCAAACACTTGCTCACTGCTGGTCACAGCTGCTGCTCTGCAAAAATATCCTCCAAGCACTGCACTCCTTAGGAAAATTCCTGCAAAACCATCACCCTCAGGTACAATAAATGTCCCTTTGAACTTACCTCTCTGAGGACTTCCTGCCTCCACCATCCCTCTCAGATGAGGAGTAAAACAGTGGCAATTGCTTGATACCCTTTGGCAAGGACAATGAGATGGCATCTCTAACCATACCCCTCGCCTGGGGTGCAACACAGAACGAGTTTGAACTCCCTCTCCTCTCCACCCAAACAAAAAGATGAATAAAAGGCCACATGCTGTAGGACTCTTCTCCAATGGTGTTCAAATTGAGAGGAAACAAAAGCAAATGTTTGCTGCAATGCCCAGAGAAGAAAGTTCGTCCTATCTGGACACATCAATCCTGTTTCCCACTTGTCCCTCTGTTCAAGCCAGCAGCCCAGCTCACTGGGTGCCAGCAAGAGACAGAGGTAGGAGACCCATCAACACAGGAAAGGCAAAACCCCAGGGTCACTGCAGACATGAGAAGCCAAACCAGCCCCAGGATCTTGCTCTCATCTCTGTCAACAGCTTTTAAGCACAGCTCCAGTCCCCTCCACACCAGCCTTGATTTGCCAGCCCCTTTTCAGCTCGGGAAACAACACCACAGGATCACTTGTGTCAGCAGAAGAGGTAACAGCAGCACAGACACACCAGTGGGCAACAGTGATATCCGAGAGCATCTTTCTTGTTAAGACAAGTTCAAGGCTTGTCCTCAAACACAGTCTTATGCTAACGTAAGAAATCACACCACAATGTTAAGAAACAAATCTTATTATGTTTTAATCTAAGTTTGATCACCTCTTCTCCATGCTAAAGTTTTGTCCCCCAGCAGAGCAAAGCACTTGGTCTATGTTTAGTTCTGGCAGCCACACTGGGTGAGGAGATGAGTCTTTAGCTGAGAACTGGGCAGCAGGAGCCAGGGTGGCAGCTTACAGCAGGTCATTTCCCAGTTAAGTGCTTCCCCAAACAGAATTACTTCAGCTACAACACAGCAGAAGGTTTAGTGCTCCAATATACACAGGGAACCACTTTGAAGTGTGGTTAAGACTCGTTTTAGCTCTCATCTAAACATCAGCAAGAAAGGTCAGAGCTGCAACACACTGACTGAGCCCAACATCACTTAATTCAAGCTTGATACAGACTAAAAGCCTAAAAGACACTTAAAAACAATACTTAGATATACAAAAACCAGGCACCTCTTCCAGATGTGTACATCCCTGAAACGTGTTCACCAAGTACCAAAAACACTCCTGCAGGGGAGGGATTCAGTCCACTGGCTAGAGACGGAGATCAGATTACAGATTAGGGATTTTTATTTAGTTTAGGTACACAGTGTTTGTATACAAAATAAAAACCTGGCTTAAAGAACCAGACTAGCTGAAGCAAGGCCATGGAGACCAGATGGCACTGCCCATGTGCCATGGCCCAGCCACCTGCCTCAGGTGCGGTTAAACGACTCAACAGAACAAGAGTGGAACCACGGGTAGGAGTTGAGGCTAAGCAGCCATGGAAAACCAACTGTTCCCTCTCTGCCTATCAAGTGAGCAGAGGAATGGGACCTCCTTTCTGCCATCATGTGGCTGCAAATCAGCACTGGAATCTATCTGAGAAGTTGGGAGACCTTGGCATGGTCAGGGGCTGCTCACTGGGCTTCACCTCTACGTTGCGGTACTTGCGTATTGGGTTCGCCTTGTGAACCTGGAGAAAAGTAAATCAAGGACAAAATGAAGCAAAGGGTAGCAGTGATGATGAAACTGAACTTGGTGGTTGAGCCATCAGTGGGATGAAGGCAGGGTTTGTCTCCCTGACTGACACAGCCTGGGGCACTGGAGTGAGCCACCAGGAACACAGAGCACACAGGAGTGTTGTGGGTGTTGCAAAGATCATCCCGTTCCAATACCCATGTGTGCACAGCTCAAAAACATCAGTTATCTCAGCAGAGCTGCCTTCAAAAAAAAGTAAATGAAGACCACCTGTAAAGTTAAAGTTATTGAGGACTCAGTTTGCAACAGGAAAACATGAGAAGTCTCAATGCAGCTCAACATTGACGTTGTCTCATTTAGTGTATCCACACACCCCTCTGGGTTACTTCACAGCTCCTGCTGAGGAATAGCTCACTCACCATTTCTTGCCTTAGCTTGGCAATTTCTTCCTTCTCACGCTCCTCTTGCTGCTGCCTGACCTGCTCCTGCTGCCTCTCCCTCATGGCTTCTATATCCGCCAGGCGCTTCTCAAACTCCTGCCGCTCTTTCGCTCGTTTTTCTGTCGCCAGCTCGAAGCCTTCAGGTACTATGGAACCAGAAAGGCTCTCTAAGTTTAGAAATAGAGGAGATAACATTGGTGCAAAGACAGCCAAGTAGAGCAGAGAAGTCCTAGGGTCAAAGGGAAGCCTCCCTCTGGAGACCTTCACCTTGCAGGGGGAGCTAGGAGATGCCTCCAGGCCCTGGGGGCAGAGGTGAGCTGAGCTAACCAGGCCCCACCTGCCAGGGGCTCTCACAGCAGAAGCAAACACACAATGGTTAGTACAAGCAAGGCTGGGCTGGTTCTACACCAAGTGCAGTCTTCCCTCCACTGTAGATGCCTTCATCTTGTTAGGGATGGGAGGAGCAGTGACAGCTGCTGCAGACACCAGCTGTCTGCAGGGAGCTGGGCTCACTCTGCCCTCGTCCTGAGCTGGCACACATCAATCACTCCCAATTGCAGCAGAGCTGTTAATTACACTGCCATGTTAGTGCAGGACAGCAGGGAGGAAACTCCCCTGCTCCCTGGGGACACGAGCTGTTAGGAAATTAGTTCATTAAGTGCAGGGCCCTATTGGCTGTGCTGCTACAGAAGAGGCAACAGCCAGTCTAAACATCATCCAACTGCACCAGCTCTGGGCCATCAGCCACACCTGCACAGCAAGGACTTGTAACTCCACCTGATAACAGCTTATTTTCCTTTTTAGGCACAAAAGGCTCCTGGTACACCACCGTGTTGGGACGAGCTTTAAAACATGCTGCCTCTTTCTGCCTCTTCAAGTCTTCTTTAAGCTGCAAGGCAAGAGAATGCATCCAGCTCCAGGCATAATGAAGAGACCACCTCCCCCCCCCCCCCCAAGACTTCAGCATTCCCAACACTGGAAAAGCCAGTTTGACTTAGATCAAATCATTTGCATAGACAATTATATTAAAGCCAAGAAGTTGTCACTTGTCACCTGGCAGTTACTTTTGCCAAAAACAGCCTGAAAAAAGTGTCAGGTGTCGACTGCAGATTTCCCATGAGAAAAGCAGCGTATTATTTATGTGTCAGTAAATCCCCAAGCACAGAGATGGTCAAAGGGGTCCTGCTGCTTAGAAAACACCCCATGGCTGTTCATGCAGTTGTGGTAAGTCCCATCACCTATCTTAAAGGGAGGGGAAAAAAACCCCAGAACATTCCACCAATTTATAACTCACAGTACAAGTTTCATGCCAAGGACACAACAATTAATCACTGAAACTCAGATCCTGACTCAACACAACTTTCTGAAGCCAATCCTAACCCCACTTCTGGGCTGGTGGTACCCGTTACTCTTTCCACCCTACCTGCTCTTTCCAGCTCTGCAGCTTGGCAGCTCCCCGCTCATCAACCTGCAGATTGAAGGGCTCAGGCTGGGTTGGGTTTTTGACTTTCTTTTCTGGGAGCTTAACTTGGTCAAAGTAAGGCAGAGGCAACGCTTTGAACTTTGGCACCTGAAAGAAACAACTGGAGATATTCCTTGCCCTTTCCTCAAAGGAATGAAGCTTTGAAAGTTCAACAACCAAGAACAAGAGGCAAGTCCAGCCACCCCTTTTTTCTTAAGGAGTAGAATCCAAGGGACTTTTAGTTCTCACCTCTTCCTTCTGTAATTCTTCTATTTTCTTTTCTTTTTGTATTTGCCTCTCTCTGTCACGGGCATCAAAAGAGAAGGGACAAACTTCCACATGCCTCTGATCTGGCATTTTGGGTTTGAAGGGCACTCCATAGTGTGGCATTGGGTTAGCTTTGATCACAGGGACCACCTCTTTTTCCTGAAGGGATATTAGTATTAGGATCTGACACAGCAATGGATTTTTGTAGAATGACTACAACCCCTGCCCAACAAAGCCATGACAACCAGAGTTCCTTTAACAAGGGTCACAACAGTCAAGGAAAAGCTCTGGATGCTGCAAAAAACAGTAATCCAAAAAGTATCAATTCACAGGCATTCTGAACCACAGGCAAGTTCTTCTTTCCAAACCACTCTCAGTTCTAGCACTCATGCAAATTAGACTCATTCTTTATCATCCTCTTTGCAAGAGGGAAAGGAGGAAGGACATGATGCATGTTGAATCCTCCTCCCCACCTCCTGGGATCTAGAGCTTTTGTGGGGAGAAGAAAGGTCATGTGCAATAGCTGCCCATCTCAGCCATGGAATAGGGAACATCCTTCAGAAATCTCAGTACTTTGCTTTCTTCACTCATGGCAGCAAAATCTCAGAACCCCTGGGCAGTGCCCTCGTGTTTACACCAAGTTCCTGCATTTTGTATGAAAATTCAGTTCCTGTAAAATGAGTCACAGCAACTAAGTGGCTAGAAGGGAACAGCCCAAAGAGCAATGTCTGGAGGAGCTGCCTGACAGGAGGAAAGGGACACACCAGAGCACCACACCCAAGGGCAGGCTGGCCAAAGCAGTCCCTGCAGAGGGACAAGGTTTGACTAGAGCCCTTCACAACCCTCACCTTTTCTTCATGTCTGCCAGACTTTCTATTTTTCAAGGTGAAGACCGGAGACTTGGGGACTGTGACAGGAAGTGGTTTCTTCTCTGGAACACCCTGTTCAGAAGAGCCAGAAGGGAGTTACCCTGGCCTGAGTGCCAGGAGAGAGCACTGCAGGCAAAGCGGACAGCACAGTGTGTCCTCCTGGCAGTTCCCACCTCATCAGGCAGTGTTTACTTAAGGTTATTAGCTACATAATGCAACACAGCTACAGACATTTTGAAGCCAGTTACTTCATCAATTTTAACTCCCAGGACTAGGTGTTGCTAAACTTCTTACCACAACATTCTCCAGGATCTTGGTTGGACATGGCCTCGAATGGAATTCAAAGTGCTCTTCCTCCTGTTGCTTCTTACTCTCACGCTCCTGAATCCTTTTTTCTACCTCCAACTGGAAGCCAATAGGCTCGGTGAGCTCCTTCACATGGGGCTTCTTGGGCAGGAGTGGTCCACCCTCAAAGATTCTGCGATCAAGTTCTCGTGCTTTGAATTTGTACCTACACAGGAAAGACAGAGACAGTCACCACATACTGTACAAGACAAGATGCAGCTTCTAGCAAATAGCTTCTTTCCCAGCATATAAGAGCAACGCTCAGGCACAGCAGCAGTTGTGCCACACTCAGATGTCACAGTGTGCAGCTCTAGTTAGCAACACCTCCTTTTCTTTTGAAACAGGATGTTAAGGCAAACCTCACGGATTGCTTTCTTGGATCCAAACCTCTGTGTACAGGAGAGTTTTGAAGTGCACCCTGGCTGCCCTGGGTTTGCTTTGCTGATCAGAACTGTACTCACCCCAGCTCAGCTCTCCTAAGAGCAGTTTCTTCAAAATGAATTGGCTACTTGTCACATCCCTACAACCAGAGCCTCAGGATCATGCATAGGCTAAAAGAATCTCCATGTTTTTATGCCACTTGTTCTTTAACACAAAAAAGGTGTTCCTGAGCAGTGACGTTTTGGCACCCAAAAGACATTTCCAGCCTGGTACAATTCTTCCTTGGAGAACTAGAGTAAATCTTTACTTACTGTTGAATTTTCTCTATTTCCTCTGCTTCCAACTCTGCTGCAGTTTTGCAGGTGACAGGTCTCAGGCGCTGCTTTGTGAGGAGCACGGGGGTCTTGGGGTGTGTGATCCGCGCCCTCCCCTGCTTCCCAGGAGCTGGGCCTGCCAAGTCACAGAAAGCAGAAGTTACTGGCAAGACCAGCAGCAGATTCAGACTGTTTGCTCAGCAGCGCAGTGAAAACACCATCCTTGCTCTGTCACAGTCTCTGCGAACAGGCTCCTGGCTGGACAGAGCCAGGACCACTCACCTTCATCAGATTTCCTGCTCCTCAGATGGTATCGGGAGGGCGTGCGTTTCTGGAATGCTTCCACCTGCTCAGCAAGGGACACGTATTCTGAGGCTGTTTCTTCCAGCTTTCTTTTGTTTCCCTGGGACAGATTGAAGGGTTGGACGACAGTGGGTCCCTTTGGCAGTCGCCCCTGGAGACGAAAAACCCACAGTCATTCTGGCTGGTTAACACAGGGTGCTTCCATGACACCTCCTTCCCCTACTGGTTCACTGGCCCTACTGAAAAGAAAGTAAAACTTAAGATAAGACATAAGTCTGAACGTGCCCAAGTTAGTCTTGCTGGGAAACCGTATGAAGTGGAAGAGTAATGACAAGATGTGACATTACAGGGTGCCCTTTTCAAAAGGGACCTTCAGAGTCTTGTGGCAACACAGGCACACAGGGAGCCACTAGTGACACAAGACCTGCCTCTCCTACAGTGACCCCCTTTGGGGTTACCAGCAGTGCGGGTGTTGCGTGAGCAGAAAGTGATGTCAGGAGCTGGTCAGCTGGCAGTGGGCAATGCTCTGGTGCTCACCGGAGAGGAAGGATGCTTCCTCAGAGCTGCTGCAAAATCCAGCTCCTTGTACTCATTCCCAGGCTGGCTTTCCCCATGTTGTTTAATTCTATTCTCTGTGCGGAAGTGGAAGTCAATTGGCTTCGTTACTTGACCAACAGGTCTCTTCACAGGTTGTCCTAAAGAAAAAGAAAATAAAGGTTTGCAAGCCTTTTGGGGTGAGGATTTGGGGGTGAAAAAAACCATTTAACTTGTAATAATGCTAACAGGTTTTTAAAGATCTATAACTTTTCAAAACATGATAAACCTGTTTCCAGGCAGTTTAGGGGCTGATCTACATGAAAAGCCACCTAATCCTAACATTTATGTTTGGTTTTAAAGCCCAGTTTCAACATGCAGCTCAGCCAGAGCCCACCTGCCCCTGCGATCGCCGCCTTCAGGGACTCCTCGTTCCTCTTCCTCATCTCGATCACCTCCTGCTGCAGCTGCTGCATCTTTTCCAGCTCCTGCTCCTCTGTGCTCTTGGGCTTGCCAGGAAGATTGGTCCTCCTGCAGAAGTAAATGAAAGGCTGAGATCAGCCTTCCTGCTCCACTGATTATGAGCATGTCAGCACAAGGACCTTGCTCATCTCTGACTTCACTAGGGAGTCCCTAATGATAATAGTACACCTTTTACAAAAGATCAGTTTGGATTCTGCTTGCCCAAGAAAGCTTGCAGCTAACTGCTCATCTGTATGCTTTCACGTGTCAGGAAGAACAATTTTCTCCTCAAACTAAAAGCCAAAGCTTCCCTTTGCACAGGCTCAATTGCTGAAGCACATTTCACCCTCATATTGTTGCCCTGATCGGTGTTTACTAAATGCGATGCCATCACATGCTGGGTTGAAGCTGAAAACAATCCAGCCAGGCCTGTCACCTAAATCAACTGTGATTAGCAAAGACAAGTCACAAGGAAGCAACATACTTTAACATTGCTGGCGTGGAGGGCAGGGTCAGCTTGCTCTTCCCTCTCTCCGGGGAGCAGTCAGGATTCTCTCTCTTCGTAGGTACCTCTGTCACCTTCTCTCTGCTGCCAGAGCTAAAGTAACACATTGTTATGGCAAAGCACTGCAGTTACCTGGCTCTCCAGGACAGATCACCCTCAGCTGTCACCACTGTGCACGACATCCCAACACCTGGTGGGTTGTAAGGAGCTCTGAGCTGGCCTTACCTCACCACGGGCCCAGGCACAGACCGCCTAATTCTCCCTGCTTCTCTGCGGCTGCAGGAGGGAAGACAAGTTACTGGGTTTTTGGAACTCAGGCTTGTCAGGGGGCAGGTGTGCTGCAGGTCACCTCCTTACAGCAGAACTTCCAGACCTCAGCTTATCACCACAGGATATTTTAGTGGTTAAGCAAATTTGAAAAATGTTTTATCTGCAACTCTCCCACAGCTTGTGACTGCTGGATGGGCAAGTCAGGCCAAACATGAAGGTAGCTGACAGGCACTGGGTATGGAGTAAGAAGCTTAAGGAACTCAGGCTTATTTCATTCACATCTCCACCTGCAATAGACCCATTTCCTTCAGGTCTTACAGCCATTTCTTCTTGTTTATGAAACCAGCATCATGAATCAGGTTTCAGTCACCTCCTCCTAACCTTCTGAGGAGAACCCTCCCAGCCAAGTGAAAATCCTTTCCAGAGACACAGTTGTATCCCCTTCCCAGCCCCAAACAGCAGGACTTTGATGACATACACTCTCATCTTTTTCAGGGGTGGAACCCCTTCCTTATTAGCCAAGGCATCAGCATTTCTCTCTGCTTTGATCCTAGCTGCCTGTTTGTGTGGCTGTGCTTTCCTCTGCTTCTGAGCCTGCCTCCTTCCCGCCCTAGAGAACAGAAAATGGATGTTAGTTTTCCCACAGGTCTGAGAAGACACAGGATCTGTTTAACACTTTTTATGTCAGTGCATCCCTTGGCACACACCCCAGTGCAAACTGTGTGTTTAACACAATCCAAACGCAGCATGATTTAAATGTATCAATCCATAAACTTCACATCCTTTGGTACATACAAGCACACAGAGCCCCTTGCACCAGCGAGTTCTGCCCAACCCAGGCAGATATAAACAAAGAAACTCGATATGCCACTTCAGTTTCAGATACCCTCCCATTCCAGAAGCTCCTGGTGCTACCGAGTCTCATTTAACAAGTATGTGAGCCATTGCATTACATTTCCACCCCTAGAGATTGTCCCTCCAGCTTAGCAAGCAGATCAGCTGTCCTGACTCACAATCTCTGTGCTAGAGAACTTCAGATGCCATAGGACTGCCCAAGAGCAGAGCTGCAGATCCTGAGAGCAAGCAGCCTGCTTAGTTACACTGTCATCAATCTTTGTGAAAAATGAATGCAAGAATTTCACCTTTGAGAGGCCTCATCAGAGGCAGCAGCTCTCCAGCTCGTCAGGGATCCAACAATATTTGGAGGTACAGCAGTGGCCTGGACACATTCTGTTTTACTGTCCTCTTCAAAAAGGCTTTCACCTGAGAACAGTGACAAATGTCAACTCACATAAATACATATTTGCACACACACAGAAGAATGCTGAAATGAAATCACGAGACCTTGCTAGACAACAGTATATGAAGGTGGCCTTCCAAAAGTCAGGCAGAGGCCTTTCCATTTTGCCAGTAAAAATCAGGTAACATTTATTCTCTCTCCCCCATACCAGGCCAGCTTACTTTTTGTTACTCCTTGTGATGAGACAGAAGACAGAATAATATCAGGCTTTGAAAACTCAGCGTTGTTCTGTGAGACCTTTGCCAGATTTTCTGCAGGAGGGATATTCTCCAGATTGGCTTTTTGGTCTGTGTGGAAAGGGAGGCTTTCATTATACATCCCACATTAGGAATTTTTAACAATACTTCAATCCTATTATGATGTTAACACAGTAAGTTGTCAAGTTACAGATGAGAATTAAAGTGTAAACACAAAAGCAAATAAAAACCCCAAGAATGATGCAGTTAACAACGTGCTTAATCCGCTGGCACAGAAGCCAGGCCCTAAACAAGCATCTACCCAAGCCCTCACCCAGAGGGGAAACAAATCAAGGAGCTGGAAGCAACTTACCAAACCAGGAGTCTGCATTCTGCACATCATCATCACTCAGAGTGGCAAAGTTGATGCAGGGATTTGGGACATCAAAGGAATACCGGGACTCTGGGTGAGACATCTTGACCCGCGCCGTCCCCGCCTGCCCTCGCCCTGTCCTAGGGACAGACACAGGTCACCTCCAGTACCAAACCCCCACCCACACTCAGCTAAATCCTTCCCCACCTCTCCCTCTGCAGTTCTTAGGGACAGAAGCCAGGATAGCCTCTGGTACCTTTTCCTGCCTCATCACTCCCAGCCCTTGGGCACAACACCCACAAGCAAGGCAGTGTTTTATTCTACAGCTAATGGGCAAAGCTAAGAAGATTTTACCCTTGTTGACATTTGCAGGTTCAAAACAAGCAAAAAGATCAACTTTTGAAGGTTTTCTTTGTCCCCTGCCTCCCTCACGGCAAGGAAGAGTTCTTGCCCTTACCATGACACAGGACCAGGCTGAGCCCAGAGCTGCAAAGTTCAGCCTCTCTCTCTCTGCAGGGCTACAGACAAGAATTAACACCATAAACCCTTTTACAGAATAAATTGATTTCCAAAGCAGGAAGAGAGTTGCACAGAGTATTGTTACTGGGCAACAAGCAGTCAGAAGAGCAGCACAGGCTCCTTGCCCATGTTCCACAGCACTAGCCCCACGCTGGCCGGGCTATAAACAAACCAAGCCCTGTGACCCTGTCAGGAACAGCCCCTGTAGTTAATTAGTGAAGCACTGACAGCAGGAGGAGTCCCTGTGTCAACAGGTGATATTAAACCCAACAGAACAGGAACAAAGCCAGCAACGAAGTTACAAACTCTTAAAATGGGAATAAAACCTTTTTGCAAAGGTGTCTTGATGCTTCCACGACACCTCTCACAGCTGCAGGGCAAAGCCCATGAGGGAGTTACTAAACACTCCCTTGGGAAACCACCTGGACTTCACTTTTATGAGTCCAACCAACTCTAAAGCAGCGTATTCTTAATGCACAAAGTCTGACCTGAACCATCTGTCTAGGCAGACCACACATGGTTCAACCCAGATGGTCTGCTCCCCAGATAAGAAAATGCCCAGGAGTTCATCACACCAGGGCTGTGTGCCATCATCTCCCTCCTGCACACACTGGGCAGCTGCAGCTCCAAACTCTCAGAGTTAAAGAGAAGAATTGTCAGAGAAACATCAGGACTGTGAGGACATCGAGGTGGGACCCAAAGAAGGCAAACAGAAGAACTGGAGCCAAAACCAACAGTATCCAAGCTCAAGACATGGTTGGAATCGAATGCTTTCCTACCACCCTTCATCAAGATAAAGTTTCTGTCAACACTAGACACTTTTTTAAAAATCAAATGCGTCATCTGCATTCTCCCCTCCCCACTCAGCCCACCCTGTTAGAGCTCTGGGAATCATGTTTCACAGCTACTTGTGTCCACTGCTACCCTGCTGCAGTTGCCAGCGTTTCACTGCCTGGGGTCTATGTTCTTCCCTGGTGCCAGCAGCCTCACCACTGACCCCTGCTCTCTCCCTCCACCCCAGATAGAATCAAACAGTCATGGAAAGGGAGGACATCAATGCCACAGACTTATACTCCAGGTGAGGAGGTACAACTTATCATGACTGAACTTCAGAGGGTCTGTATCAGCTGAAAGGCATCTCATTCCTCAACTTCATTTGGGGCACAGCTCCTGTCAGTTGGGAATGTTGATTTATCACTTTGATATCCCCACTGCAAAGCTTCTGTGATCAAACTGGGCTCAGCCAAGCACAGCCCAAAGCCCACTGGCAACTCCTTTAAAACATCCCATTGTGATTTTGGCAGCAGAACCCTTGTCTCCACCTCTTCTTTAAAGACAGGAGGCAAAATTCTGGTGGAAGAGTGCCACAGTGGAGGGAGACAAGCGAGGGGCAGAAATTTCTCCTCATATATAGGGACTTCACCTAATTAGCAGGCACTGCATGCATTTACCAGGCTGTGGTTACAGGCACACTGTCATCCTGCATAGCTACAGCGTGGATTTAAAGCCTCACCCTGCTCCCCCCACATCCATCACCTCCCATGTCGACACTGGCACTCGCTGCCAGCCGGGGAACCCTCACCCTGTCCCCAGGATCAGCTTTCGCCTGGTTCAGAGCTCCCAGCATCCCCAGGCAAGGCAGGAGGATCCCGTCCTCACACTGTCAAAAATAGCCTACATTCCTCATTCCTTTGGTAAAAACTACTGCCTAACTCAAACCTTAATTCTTTCTAGGTCTGCTCCCCTCCCTCACCCAAACACACCCCAGGGCTCCTGCCATGCCCTGAGGGAGCAGATGAGTTTCTCCTGAGTAATTGCAGGCTGCACGTTCCAGAAGAGTGCCTTGGCCTGCTTACATTAGTTAGCTTAGAAAAAGGATTAAGCTAAATTGGAACAAGCATTCCTATCCCAGAATAAGACTGACCCAACAGCAAGTGCAGTAAGTATTATGGAATAACTTCACACCTCACTCTAATCCAAATTAGCTTTAAAATTCTGACACGATTCCACCTCTGACATGCTCAGTGTCTTTTATTCCTCAATGCAGTTGCTCATTTCTTGCCAGAAACATCAAGGCTGGAGAGGAACAACTCCAACCAGAGTCACTCAGCCCTGGCTGAGCTGCAGCATGTAAATGGGAGGGCATCAGGGAGCACTTTGCTATCATGAACCAACCACAAAAAGCTTTTTCTCTTTTGCTGGCAGCCCAGCACAGACTGATGGCCAGGGGGAAAAGCAGGAACAGCACCCACTGCCTGGGACAAAGGACCTTCCCAGCTGTAGGAGCTTTGGAGGGAAGGAGCAGAGTTCCGGGATGATAAACTAGAGGTCAGAAAAAGACAGAACAGATGAGGTGGGGTGTGGGGGAGCAGCAAGGGACAGACATAAGGAAGGTGCAGAGATCTGCTCTTTCTTTCCACCTGGCAAAGTAATTAGAGAAGCTCCTGCTCAACCTGAGACACCAGCTTATCACAATCCACCACTGGAGCTTCAGCAGCTACAGGTGTGACTCCAACCCCTACCTGGATTGGAAAGGGGAAAACATGGTACCCGACACACAAAAAGGATATTCCAAGGTACATCAGCAACTAAACCTGATTCACACGCTTCAAAACCTGAGATGGACAATCAGGAATAAACAAGAAAAGCTTTCCCAAGGCTGAGGATCACAGAATGTTAGGGGCTGGAACAGACCTCAGGAGATGGAGTCCAACCCCCTGCCAGAGCAGGTCACTCAGGATGCTGCACAGACACGTGCTGCAGTCATTCCAGTGCCTTCTGCTGGGCATTCCACACCAACACGGGACACTGTGCTACCCTGGCAAGGTGCTTCATTCAGCCTGGCAGCTTCTTTATTGCCCTGCAACCCAAAGCTTTCCATCCCCTCTACAGGGACAATAATCCCCACAAAGTTCCCAGATGCTTTGCAGAGGCTGACATGTAAATTGGACCATCACAAGGAGCTGCCTCTATAGATACACCCCTGCCACCAAATTCTGGATCGGCAGCTTCTCCTTCCTCTCTGCGGCTCCTCATTCAAAGCTCAAACGTGCTTTTCCACAGCACAGAATCCACATGGAATTTACCATCCCGGTTAGAGAACAAAGGCAACGCTGCTGCCCCATCACACAATACTCAGAGTGGGAGACAAAGCTTTGAACTCAGCAGAGGCAAGAGCCAGCAGGCAGAGCTGCACAGACCACCCGACCCTCCCACAGGGAGGAGCCAGGTGCTGGAGCAGCAGCTCTTCTCCCGAACAGCCTTTTGCCTTCCTTCCCACAGCCCGAAATAAACAGCCCTGGCAGCTCCTGCTCCATAAATGAGATCCCAGAAGTTTTAAAAGACGGGACATTCTAAGAATAGCTGTTCAAGGAAAAGTAAATTATTTTTAGCCAAGAGAACCTCAACTCATGGTTGGATAAGTCACAGCTCTTCTAGCTTAAAAAACCCCACTGTAT